CGATACGAATATCGTTGCACCCCTAGTTTTTAACCATCATTTTCTAGTTCCTCATTTCTGTAGCTCCACTTTGTAATTGCCCTTCACCACAGTGTCTTTTATCAGACGCCTCACTGTGGGTTTTGGGGGGGTGTGGCTCTACCTGTCAGCCACTTTACCTTATAGTGGCATCTTGCATGTTATGTTTCCTTTTTAATTGCTCAATTTTATTGTAGTGATTATGAGAATTTTTCTCAGTAGGTTAGTGTGTTTTGATCTGGAGTCCCTCTGGCTGTTTTTTCCCCTCCTTGTACTCTTTGATTTGTTTCTTTTTGTCCCTTCCTCAGAAATCCGGTGTTGTAGATTGTGTCCTCAGTAGAATTAGAAGTTTAACAGATCAGTTTGGTGTGTCAGCTCACAAAATAATGAAGCACAATTTATTGCATTAAGATTTGATAGACTCCTCAGGCCTCTGTCTCATTGAGCCTCCTCCTGTGTTTCCACAGTGAACTCAGTCTGCTGGGGTCCATATGAGTTTGGTCTAATCCTGGCCTGTGGCAGTTCAGACGGAGCAATTTCCCTTCTCACGTTTACTGGAGATCAGCAGTGGGACGTCAAGAAGATCAGCAATGCTCACACTGTGAGACTTACAAACTGCTCTGAATGTTTGAAATGTCACTTTAGCAGCATCCTGCATTGGATGTAACACACTGTTGTGATTCTGCTGCAGATTGGCTGCAACGCTGTAAGCTGGGCTCCCGCTATAGTTCCAGGCAGCTTGATTGATCAGCCATCGGGACAGAAGCCAAACTACGTCAAGCGCTTCGTCTCCGGAGGCTGCGACAACCTGGTCAAACTCTGGAAGTAAGTGCTCATGTTTTCTGAAAATCTCTGAAGGAAATTACAGTTCATACCATAGGTGCATCTACTAAAACTTTTGGACACGTTCTAATCTCAGTAAAAAGGTCAAAGGTCAACTTTTCTGAAACCCACAAAGGATTTTCAAATTTATACTATAGGTGCATACCAGGAGGTTGATGGGTAGCACTGGCAGTGTTCCTGCAACACACTCAAAGTTTCAGAAGCATTTAAGAAATTATTATTATTATTATAACATAGCTGTGTAAGACATGAACACTTGACCAATCAGAAGCATTGAACACTACAAAAGAAACCTGAGGAGTACAAACATATTTCAGTGGAACATAAATCAGATGTTCGCTCTTCAGAAAGTTTCGGTTCTCTGGGGAAAGTTCACTGATCTTGATATTTAATGTCACCACAGCACAAACATGGTGATCCTTGTGTGACAAGTGTGGTAGTGGTGAGTGGAACCTCGCAGCAGAAAGGCTTCTGGTTTAAAAACGTGGCTAGAGCCTTCCTGTGCCTAGTTTGCATGTTCTTTCAGTACCCTTGTGGGTACTCCTCCTTCCTCCCACATACCACAAGACACACTGGGTTAGTTGGTTATCCTAATTGGCTGAATCCAAGGAAGATGCATTTCTTGCTTGAAGTATAGACAATAAAGCTCTGCATGAGTGTGTGGTTCAGGGTGGCTTGTGGTCTGAAGCGTTTTCTTGTTTTGTTTTTGTTTTTTTTCTTAAACCTAATTGTCACTGATTGATATTTCCTGCCTGCAGAGAGGAGGATGGGCAGTGGAAGGAGGATCAGAAGCTGGAGGCTCACAGTGATTGGGTGAGAGATGTTGGCTGGGCTCCATCTATTGGTCTTCCCACCAGCACCATTGCCAGCTGTTCTCAGGTGAGATTTGATGTGATTACACATGCAGAACATGCAATTTATTCTGCTTCCCAGCACCTAAAACATAAAGTGTTCATTCAGACATTATAAATAAAGTTTTGATAACTTAGGTACAAGTTTTTCACCACTAGATGGAGCCAGAGTGTGCCTCCAGTTCAGTCAAGTGTGAGATTAAAGATCCACCAGTTCATAAGCGGGTTACATTAATCTGTAGTGCTTCATAAAATGTGGTATCGTATAAAAGCAAGTGTTATTGGCAGCTTGCAAAAAAGTATTTGAATAAAATCAAACCATTCCTGTTTTTCTTCCACTGGGGTTATGTGGGAAATTGTTTTCCATTCTTCCAGGATGGACGAGTATTTATCTGGACGTGTGACGACCCTGCAGGCAACACCTGGACGGCCAAACTGCTCCACAAGTTCAACGATGTGGTGTGGCACGTCAGCTGGTCGATCACTGGAAATATACTGGCCGTTTCAGGAGGAGACAACAAGGTAGAAAATACACATTTACACCAAATCCACATAAAATTATAGATATCATTTGATTTCCTTCTGTCTGACTTGGTTATATGCAAACTAAACATGCCACAGTCTGGAAGAATATATTTTATTGATATGGTTTTATCAACCTGCAGTGAGCTCTGCCCTTATTTTTTTTAACCTTATTGATTCAGGATATTATGGCTGTTTCTCAAAGCTAATATTTAACTCTAAAGAATAAGTTGAATTAGATTTGAGCGCTGACTCAGATTTTATTTATAGTTTATTTATTAAACTATTTATGAACTTTTCAGGTAACGCTGTGGAAGGAGTCGATGGATGGTCAGTGGGCGTGTATCAGTGATGTCAGCAAAGGCCAGGGCGCAGTCTCCACCATCACAGACACACAGCAGAATGAGCAGTGACCCTCGAATTAAAACACACACACCCATTCCGTGACCCCTGACCCTTCGATGATGACCCTCAGCCTTCAGAGATGAAAGAATAAACATGCTGGACATTTGGACTGAAAACAAGACGCCCACAGTGATGAAGCCTGGTCTATAATCTGAGTTTTAGGCTTCAGCATGAGTTGGGTGCCTGCTGAAAATCAACAAGGAGAATTTATTAGAGGGAAAGAAACTATTACAACTCAAAGAATCATCGCTCTCTGTATTTTTACTTTAACGTTTAGAAATCCGGACACAACTTTGTTTGTTTTGTCTTTAGCTTCATCAAAGTTTAGTTCTTCCTGCTCTGCTCCAGAAATATTCCACCTCCACTGCTGGAGAACAAAATTACCATCACCCTTAATGCTCCCAGCATCCTCAGGGGCTGACTTTGTCCTGACTTTCAACACTTTATTCTAATTACTAGTTCACTCAAATTGGCTTTGAGTGAACCAAGAAAACTATAAAAACAAAGCAGGTGAGCCCACCTTCACACCTAAAACAAACTCTCATGTTCTCATAGTGAAACAAAACATGACTTGACTGCGTGGTTTGGATTTACATTTAATGATAAGTGGATAAATGTTTTATTTGGTAAAATGTTTGCAGACTCTTTTCAGCTGTTAAATGAATAATCTGCCTTAACAACCATGAATGGAGCGATCGTTTTTCTCCAGGTGTATAATCAGAATCCATTGATTTTTTTTTTCATGTTTGATGTAATTAAATAACTGTTTAATATTAAAACAATTTTAATGTCTTTTTTTCATTTATATAATAACCATGGCTGGGCAAAAGAGTCCTTTTCTACTAACATATTCTCTTACTACAGGTCTCATTCATTAACACACATTCATAAATAGCTTTTTTGCCAAACATTCATACCCTTTGATGTATCTGGGTCAACTTGTAGTTTAGTATCTTGATCAAGAACACTCGGTAATGCTGACGGGGAGTCAGGGATCGAACTCCTGGCCTTCTTGTTAATGCAATGACCCTAAGCCACAGCTGAGGGGTCACCAACGGAGGTAGATCAGCATGTTCGATTTGGCTCAGATTTTAGTCCGGATATTTTTCCCA